TTCCACAAAGGCTTGTAACTTACACAGAAAAACACAGCTTCTGCATGCGTGGTTTCTGACTGAGTTCAAGTCCTCATCTGACGTAATGCAAGAGTCAGTACAAAATTGTTTTAAGAACTTGGATTAAGATGGACCAACATTAAGCGTCTTCTTTGCCTTACATCTGGTAAATTGGTTCACTTGTCCTTCATTTATATACATGTGAATACACACATGATCTCTATTCACGGGGATGCTTATTTTTATAATCAAATCTCTGCCCTTCCAAGTTACAACTAAAACATGGTCTCTATATCCGGTGGCTTTTTTAAAGCAATTCTACTACTAAACAATTTGTATTTGGACAAGACCTTGAAATCATCCTCTTGTTAGTGAGAATTTAGACTGTTTTAATACTATTATTATTTAGCACAAAATTCGGTACCCCCAATTTCCGCATTTCATTTTCAGCATTAAAGTTCATCAGACTGGCAATAATGGAGTTACTGGCCCTCACCTTTAATCCTCGTAAATCTATGCATGAAAGGTCACTATGTTTGTCTGTGCCCCGGGATCCCATATTTTAAAGCAGCAGACCCCACCTCCCATTCCTTCAGAATGCTCTTTTAAAGGGCCTAAAACACTCTCCTTTTCACCCCAAAGAAGATTCTCTATCTTTAGCAATTTAACCTTCCCCTGTTGTAGCAAGCTAGCTAGCACTGGTTAGAGATGATGTCTCAGGGAAGAGGCAGTGCAGATCGAGCCACAACTGCGGCTGCTCTGATTCTGTGTTTGCTGATTTGCTTCGGAAATGTTCATGCAGCAACCTACACCGTTGGGGATTCCAGCGGGTGGACTTTTAACATGGCTTCCTGGCCTAAAGGCAAGCGCTTTAAGGCTGGAGATGTTCTAGGTAAGTGTCAATTACCTCACCTACATCCTGCTCTTCTTCCTTTGTTCCTTTTCTGTTTGATGATATTACAAGGGGAAGGGGAGAAAAGGGACTAATTTTTGGAAACGAATGCAGTGTTCAATTACGATTCCAGCATCCACGATGTGGTGGCCGTGAATAGAGGAGGGTACAGCAGCTGCAGCACTCCAGCCGGTGCAAAAGTTTACAGATCTGGGAAGGATCAGATAAAGCTGGCCAAGGGACCCAACTACTTCATATGCAACGTGGCCGGGCACTGTGAGTCAGGCATGAAGATCGCTGTCATTGCAGCCTAGTGGGTATGAAAGTATTGTAACATGTAATTCAAGTGTTGTGTGCGTTTAATAAGCTAGACTACCTAAGTTGATGTGAAATAAAAGATGGATATGCTTTGCTATTTTGAAGGGAGAAAGGCAAACAGGTATAGTACCATGACCAAGCGTCACGGGCCTTTGTTCTGTGGTGTTACATGATTTGTGTTGTCATGACTTGGATGTTCGTTTTGGATGTGTTTTAGATGTGTTTTGTTAAAAAGGATAATGTTGTAAATGAGCTTGCCTTACTTGTTATAATCTTGTTTGAATTTTAGGCCAAACATGATATATTTAGCAAATAAAGAATTCAATAGGATCATCCAATAACTAACTTAACCACTGGTTAATTTTTTTTGAGAATTAATATCCGTAGGGCTGACAAACAGGCGTTGTCAGGCGGGTTAGGTTGGTGTCGAGTACTTGTCATTGTGATCACGAGTCAAATAGATTGGGTTCAGTTAAATAGAACGCAAGGGAAGAAAAGTTAATCATGAGGTCATGAATCACTCACGTCGTTAAGTTTACAGCTTATGACCTATAACTTGCACAATTTGCAAGTCAAATAAATATGATCAAAATAGGTTGTGGGTTAAGAAACCTTATTTGCACACTTGTTGTTAGAAAATAGTAGAAAGAAGATAAAAGAAAATAAAAATAAGTTTTGGGATGTGAGTGAGACAATTTTTCTTAAGGTTTGAAAAATCCTCAATATATAACAAAAATCCTCAAATTTTCTTAAGGTTGTGGGTATGAAAATAGTACAAACAGGTGTTTTTTACTACTAAATTTCCTTTTTTCAGCAACTAAATATCATGGAATTACTTGCCGGTGATATGAATTTTCACCAACAAGACCTATATTGTTGATATTTAAATAGTACATAATATTTTAAAAAGTAATCTTCATTTTCAGCAACAAAAATCAAGTTGTTGAAATTTTTTGGTGAGTTAGGCAATTATTCATTGATCGACAACTACACCACACCATAAATTAATCAGCAACATGGGGAGCATGTCGGTGATATGGATTTTCATTGACAAAACCCATGTTGCTTATACTTAAATAGTACTAGTAAAGGTAGTCTTCCACCTCTTTACTTTGTTTACGGTAACCTTCTGGTGACTCGCAAAATCTTCGCCAAAGCTCCCCCACTGGTTGCAGACATCTGATGGATCCACATGGAAGAAAATGGGTATAACCATCTGCCCCAACTTGTCCCTGCAAGCAAGGATCTTGACGAGCTCGTCCAGGCACCATCCAGAACCAACATAGTTTGTGGAGTTATTTGCAATTTTTTAAAGGAAAAAGGAAATCGATCCCGAGTTTGTATTAAGATTTTTGTGTTCTGTTTTGGTTGCCATGAAAATGTGACTACTTTTTTTTTTTTTTTGCCTTTTTCTTTTATCAAATCATCTATTGCATCGTCAGTTGACCCTGATTTTCACCCTTAACTATAAGAGTTCACTCTAAGAAGAAGTAGAGTCGACTATACAATATCAAAATTCAACTTCAAAATTTCAGAGAGTGAAGTGTTTCTGAAAACAGTTCAAAATCGACTCTTCAATAAAAGATTCGACTCTAAGCATTAAATAGAGTCGACTCTACATTATAAGAGTCAATTTATACGCAAAAGAGTCTATGCCCATTTTTAATAATCAACTCTTAAAAAAATTATTTTATATTTT